TTTAATATACTATTATTCATTTTTATTGCATTGCATTGCAAAATGTATATGAAAATCATGTTACCCTCATTTTTCAGGGCACACGCGCGACTTGTATCTATAATGAGCTAGACAAAGCTAAAGTTGGCAAAGCTATAAACCAGGCCAGCGCCTCAATAAATTGCCCAGGCGGTGTTTCCTTCAGTTTTTTTCGGTTTAGCTTTTGCTTTTGCTTTTGCGGCCTGTCTGTGATTTCGCATGAAATTTTATGCGCGCGTGATTAAAAGTCACGTGCGTGGCTAATGGCGGCAGGAGACAGCAGGCGAGTGAGAGAGGGAGAGGGAGGATACAGACGCGGGACAGCTGCTGCAACTAATGGCCAAGTGGCTGCCTAAATGCTGCGACTAAACAATGCTGATAATAATCTGGCAGCTGCAGATGCTCACAGAGCGCTCGCTTAACGAGCTCGCTCTGAACTCTGCACCGAATCGAGGGAACTGGGTCTTCGCCGAGACATTTAAAGAGCATCGAACAATGGCAGCCGAAAGGGCTGCCCAATCGATTCCGTCTCGCTGCAATAGCCGCCCGCTCTCTGCCGAAGATTTGGGGCCAGCGTTCAGGTTTTGTTTTGTTTTTGGGGCCCRGTTTGCTGGGGCCACATTGTGTGGCAAGTCGTGTAAGGCTGAGTGCTGATTGTCGCCTGATTGGCATTCGCTCTCTAAATAGCGACTAGCTAATTGTTCGAGCACGCGCCACAGGCAGACGCTGATTGCCGGCCTGGGGCAAAGGGAATTACCTTATTTTCGGCCAGCTGGCAATTTGTATACTTGCCACAAAGTGGGTCAAAAGTGCAACAAATGGCAATTGCAGTTGCTCAATCGAAGCTCAGCTAAATATATTTACAACAAAATAGTTTATCTCCCAAATCGAGCTCAATTGGGCCACTCAAGAAGTTTCAATTGCATTCGAATCTCTTTCGCAAGAGAATCGTTGCCTTTTGTTGCTGTCTCTTTAAGCTGGCCAGGCTGAAATAATTGTCAATTTAAATGTGCTGCCTGTGAATCGATGCCTGAACTTTAACAAATCCCCACTGATTTCCAGCCACGCATACTCCATCCATGCAGCTCTTGTCAGCCTGGACTGGGCTGTCAGGCGTGGTCCAGGCTGCCTAGAGCAGTCAGCCAGCCAGCCAACATGTGGTGACAGCTTCGAATTAAGTTATTTGTCAAATGTCGAAGCGCTTTGGCCAACTCAGTTGCTGTCTCTGGCTCGATGCACGCCTACGGGCCAGGCGGAGCTGGTAGTCAATATTGGTCCGTGTGACAGCAGTTGGCGCAAATAAAAGGGATCCAAATATTTTATGCAAAAGCCGAATTCAATTTTTGCCAATCAATTGTAAAAAAATCAAGGGAAAGCGATGACATAGGCACTGACTGACAAGAGCCAGCCGAACGCAAGCGTTTCAAATATTTGCTGAATGGACAGCAGCAAAAAAAGAGGTAGAATGTGAAGGGGGGGGGGGGGAGAGTAGGAGAGGCTACACTTCAATAATACCCTGTATAAAAGACTTGCCGCCATATGAAAAAGCCAGACCAGAACTGGCTAAACATTCACTCTCAATTCACTCTATCACTCACTCTCTCACTCCCTCTCTCTCTCCCCACCCTCTCTCCACTCACACACTCATCTACCATATGCAAAGTGCGAGCAATTCTAGTTGCCATAGCTAAGCCTCTGACCAGGCAGGCTTTGCCCAGTCCGCAACGAAATTAAAAATTTAATTTTTCAATCAAGCCGGCAAACAGTTTAAAAAGCCGCTATGAAATTTGATTAGCCAAATCTCAGCTAGCATTTCCATTTTGATTTCCATTTCGATTTCCATTTCCACAGACAGATCCACATCCATTTCCATTTCAATAGGCAGCCAGATTGCTGCCGTTCTGTTTGACTGACTGACTGATTGACAAATTGACTGTCGGTGGCCATAAAGCAATTGCAGCGCCTCTTCAGCGTTAGCTGAATTGATCGATTGGCTCATTAAAAGCCAACACCACGCACACAGCGAACTTTGCACCTGCCGCGCACAATTTCATTATTCTACGGGCCCTTTGACATCAGCATCACATATGAAACACTCGCTATGAGAGCTGTTGGGATTACCGCATTGCCACACTGATACTCCCTGCTGGGAGTAGAGTAGTAGAGTATACAGCATAGCATTTCTCTGTGCTCGACTCTGTCAGAAATATTAGCAGTACTTGAAACAATTACAATCCGATAAGAGCTATCTGAGCTGGCGCAACTAATTGCCGCTCTCGTTCAGCGATACCCACAATACATCAGAGGCCCTGTACGGTTCAGTAATATTCATCTATAGCGCAATGCCGACCACGAGCTGCCAATGGCGCTGCCTGCTGGGCCTGCTCTGCCTGACTTGGCTGTGGACAGCGGGCGAGGCTGGCTTCCTGGAGGACCACTTCCCAGCCAGCGTGTTGGAGGAAGCGGAACTGTCAACGGTATGAAGGCAACTGCCAGAGCAGAGTAGACTCACATCTTTGTCTTACAGCCTCAGCTATTGGCCAGGCATAACTATCCGGGAGAGCTGCATGCCGTGACCACCGAGGACAACTACGTGCTGCAGGTGCATCGCATCGCCCGACCAGGAGCCAAGCCCGTGCTGCTGATGCATGGACTGCTGGACAGTTCAGCAACGTGGATTATGATGGGCCCACACAGCGGGTTGGGCTATTTCCTCTATGACGCTGGCTACGATGTCTGGCTGGCGAATGCTCGGGGCAATCGATACTCGCGTGGCCATGTCGAGCTGAATCCCAACACGGACAAGGCGTACTGGAGCTTCTCGTGGCATGAGATTGGATACTACGATCTGCCCGCCTTAATTGATGCTGTGCTATCTAAAACGGGCTATCCGAAGCTGAGTTACTTTGGGCATTCCCAGGGCACCACCTCCTTCTTCGTGATGGCCTCAACTCGGCCGGAGTATAATGCAAAGATCCATGTGATGAGTGCGTTGGCGCCAGTGGCTTTTATGAGCAATGTGGAGAGTCCTTTGGTAGCGCTGGGTCACAGATTGCTGAAAGCCGTGGGAGAAGGGCAGGAGCTACTGCCACACGCGCTTAATGGCTGTCTGCTGTCGGAGCGTACATTACAAACTTGCCTGTATTACATGTGGAAACTGCTGGGAAAGAATCCTGCGGAGTTTAATGAGGCTAGTCCTGCAGCACTCCACAATATTTGCAAATACTCTCTAATGTATTCTCTTCCTCAGACTATGATACCAGTTATTATGCATCACGTACCGGCCGGGGCTAGTTCCAATCAGTTCCTCCATTACCTACAGCTGCATAAGTCCGATCGCTTCTGTGCATACGATCATGGTGAGAAGGAGAACCAGCGCATTTATGGTCAAGCACAGCCCCCGGAATATCTTTTGGAAAAAGTAACAGCTCCTGTCGCTCTCTATTACACGCAGAATGATTATTTGACTGCTGTGAAGGACGTCAAGCGTCTGATCAAGCGACTGCCCAATGTTGTAGAGGATCACCTGTATGAGTACATGAAATGGAATCATATTGATATGGTCTGGGGCATCAGCGCTAGGCGAATGGCCCAGCCTCGAATGCTGGAGGTCTTGCAGACCTATGAAGCGGGTAAAGCAGCGAATGGAACAGATTTGATTACGACCCAAAGTGTCGAACGGACAACTGAGACCTCAACAAGGGAAACAGTTAATCCAATTGATGAATAACATTCAGAATTATGAATAGGCTTGAGCTTAGCTGCAGAGCCCTGGAAGAGCTCGGTACTTGAGTAGCTAAGAATATCTGCATAAATAAATTTCCGACTCAAAAACTTTCTCCTTCGTTTTCGTTCTCTAAAATCAGCAAGTTTTTCTACACCTCGAATTTTCCTTCATTTCTATTAAGAAATATGTAATATATTTAACTATATCATGCGATTCTTCATTATTGAATATATTTTACTGATGCGTGAAGTACTCTGAGATTTATTATTAGCCGAAATTTCCAAAATGCTCACTACCTTACTTACTAATGAACCTTTAATCTCATTAACACTCATTTTTGGCATTCATTTTCTGTACATTACAAATCGATAATTACCAGTTGAGCTGTAAGCCGAAAGCTACCGCAACTAATTGTCGTTCTATGGGAGTGACACCCAGTAAATGTGGTCCACAAATTGTCAGAATGGAGTTCAGTTCGATTGATCTTGGACATCATGCAGCTCGGGAGCGGTCGATGGACCTGTATACGTAGCTTGTTTTGGTTGACCCAACTGTGGACGGCAGGCGAGACGGGGTTCTTGGAGGACCACTTCCCAGCCAGCGTGTTGGAGGAAGCCAAATTGACAACGGTAGGAAGAGATCAGTTCGGGCAGCGGTCCATTTAATAATGTGGTAATACTTACAGGTCCAGTTGTTGGCCAAGTACAAATATCCGGTTGAAACACACACAGTGACCACCGAGGACAAGTACGTGCTGCAGATGCATCGCATTGCCAGGCCGGGTGCTAAGCCCGTGCTGCTGATGCATGGACTGTTGGACAGTTCGGCAACGTGGATCCTAATGGGCCCACACAGCGGTCTTGGCTATTTCCTCTATGACGCGGGCTACGATGTTTGGCTGGGGAATTCTCGGGGCAATCGCTACTCGCGAAGCCATGTCAAACTCAATCCCAACACGGACAAGGCGTACTGGAGTTTCTCGTGGCATGAGATTGGATACTACGATCTGCCCGCCCTAATCGATGCGGTGCTGGCCAAGACGGGCTACCAGAAGCTGAGTTACTTTGGCCACTCCCAGGGCAGCACAAGCTTCTTCGTGATGGCCTCCACTCGGCCGGAGTACAATGCGAAGATCAATTTGATGAGCGCACTGGGTCCGGTAGTTTATATGGGCAATGTACAGTGTGAGTTCAAGGAGCTCGCATATCGCTTCATCAATATCCTTGAAGAGGGACGGGAACTATTGCCATACTCGAATAAATTTACTGGCTGCATGATGTCGGAAACTACAATACAGACCTGCCTGTATTACGTGTGGAAGGCAATAGGAAAGAATCCTGCTGAGTTTAATAAGGCTCGTTATGCAAAGCTAGAGTTGTGCAATCCGATCTAACAGTCTCTCTTCTCTTTAGACCATGATACCAGCTATGTTGAACCATTTGCCTTGCGGAGGTAGTTCAAATCAGTTCATCCATTACGTGCAACTGTATAAATCCGATCGCTTTTGTGCATACGATCATGCGAAGGAGAACCATCGCATTTATGGACGAAGCAAACCTCCGGATTATCCTTTGGAGAAAGTAACAGCTCCTGTCGCCATCTACTACACCCATAATGATTATCTGAATGCTCTAAAGGATGTTAGACGGCTGATCAAGCGACTGCCCAATGTTGTAGAGGATCACTTGTATCCATACAAGAGATGGAACCATATCGACATGACATGGGGCATCAGCGCTAGGCGCCTGGCCCATCCTGTCATGCTGGAGGTCATGCGGCGCTATGAAGCGGGTGGACCACAGAACGGAACGGATTTAACCACCACCGTAAGTCCCGTAGAGACTGCCAACATGACAACTGAAACTGTGCTAAAGGCTGTGGGGACTTAGTCTGAGACGATTTGTCCAAGTGATGAACAGGGTAAAAACCTGTTAATAATTGAATAATTACTATAAATACTTGGTTATACGATACTTACAAAAATATATTCTTGATATTGCCTAAGAGTCGATGATTCACTGCTATTGTTACAGCTGCATATAAGACCTGGAATACAAATATTTGCTTCTTGTATTTTGTTTGTTCTATAAGGATTTCAAAAAGTAAGAGTCAGTTGCTTAAAGCAGATGCATAAAAAAGATGAATACGTCTTTTTAATATTATGTAATCACTGAAAATGTCGGTGGGTTGATAATTTGTAAATATTTTCGTATTGATTGCCGATTTCATTTATAATTATATTATTCTAATGAACACAGTTCAATTTATCATTAAAAAAAAAAATAAAATTTTTTTAAACGTCTTTAATGATTTTTTGTAATTTTCACATTTCGGATATTCGACTACTTACAGGGTATATATAGCCTCAACTAGAGCACTCTTATTTGTGTTTATCCAATCGACTCCTGCCTTGGGGAATTTCAATTCTTCGTCTTCTCCCTCCAGTTACTGTCGTTTGGCACACGAGTATGTGGTCAACTGTTTGCAATTTTAGTCCAAGCCTGCTGGGAGTATGGAGTAATTGTCATACATTTTATATGCTTCAAATCGATTCAGTCGGAAATTTGAAGCTATTACGGTCCAATAAGAGCTAAGTGCGCTGTACTTTAAAGGCTGGCGCAACTAATTGTCGCTCTTTGGGAATGGAGCTTGCTACATATAGCCCACACACTGACAGAATCAAGTTTAGTTGCATTGATCTTTAACATCATGCCGTGCGGAAGCTGTCGATGGCAGTGTTTACTGGGCTTGTTCTGGCTGACTCAGCAGTGGACAGCAGTTGAAGCGGACTTCCTAGAGGACTCGTATCCGGCCAGTGTGCTAGAGGATGCGAAACTGTCGACGGTATGGAGAGATCAGCTCGAGCAGAGATCATTTTAATATTATTCTAATATCACAAAGTGTTTGCCTTACAGGTCCAGTTGTTGGCCAAGTACAAATATCCAGGCGAAACCCACACAGTGACCACCGAGGACAAGTACGTGCTGCAGATGCATCGCATTGCCAGACCGGGTGCTAAGCCCGTGCTGCTGATGCATGGACTGCTGGACAGTTCAGCAACGTGGATCCTAATGGGCCCACACAGTGGTCTAGGCTATTTCCTCTATGACGCGGGCTACGATGTTTGGCTGGGGAATGCTCGGGGCAATCGCTACTCGCGAAGCCATGTCAAACTCAATCCCAACACGGATAAGGCTTACTGGAGTTTCTCGTGGCATGAGATTGGATACTACGATCTGCCCGCCCTAATCGATGCGGTGCTATCTAAAACGGGCTATCAGAAGCTGAGTTACTTTGGGCATTCCCAGGGCACCACCTCCTTCTTCGTGATGGCCTCAACTCGGCCGGAGTATAATGCGAAGATCCATGTGATGAGCGCGTTGGCGCCAGTGGCCTTTATGACGAACATGCAATGCCCGTTGATAGGCGTTGGACAGAGAGTCCTCCCTTTGATTGGAGAGAGACAGGAAATATTGCCATACTATAAGGATTTTAGTATCTGCATGCTGTCGGAGTCTGTTATGGAGCTCTGTATGTTTTACTTATGGAGGTTGATTGGAAAGGATCCAGCGGAAATGAATATGGCATGTTATGAAAAAGCTATCATTTGTCAGCCTCACCTAATCGTCCCTCTTTTTAGACCATGTTACCGGCAATTCTGACCCATGTGCCTGCAGGAGCAAACTCTAATCAGTTCCTCCATTACTTACAGCTGCAAAAGTCCGATCGTTTCTGTTCATACGATCATGATGCGAAGGAGAACCAGCGCATTTATGGACGAAGCAAACCCCCGGATTATGCTTTGGAAAAAATAAGTGCTCCTGTCGCTCTCTATTATACACAGAATGATTATTTGAGTGCTGTGAAGGACGTCAAGCGTCTGATTAAGCGACTGCCCAATGTTGTAGAGGATCACTTGTATCCATACAAGAAATGGAATCACATGGACATAGTCTGGGGCATCAGCACTAGGCGCCTGGCACAGCCTCACATGCTGGAGGTCATGCAGCGCTATGAAGCGGTTGGAGCACAGAATGGAACAAGTTTAAGTCCGGAAGACACTCACAGCACGACGACGGAAAATGCGCAGACGACTGAGCAGACCACTGAGCAGTCTGAGAGCTTTCTTTCACACTCTCTTAACAGACTCATAAATTACATTTTTAGCGACTAAGCTTTGAAATGAGTCTTCTGTGTATCGCAATGAGATCAATTTCCGGACTATTAATATACATATACTTTTAAAATTCAATTTTTTTTTTTTTTTTATTTTATTTTATTTTTTTTTTTTAGGAGTTTCAAGAAATATATTTCGAATT